AAAAGAAAACGAACTAGACGACAGACTTAATTTTTGGAGTCATTCTCATAGATTTTAAATCTTAGATCTCCAAAGACAGTGAGAGATGAAACTCAAGAACTGAATCCTAGGGCACTCCTATGGTTGTGGGTCAGGAACAGGAGAGCCTGGGTAGAGTGGAGTACATAAATCAGCCTTTCCTCTCTAGAACTTTCATGCTAGCTCCTTCCCAGAGAGGCACTCTTCCTCTAGATCACTATCTGATTGGCTAAGTGAATGCTGCTCTACTGCCAGGTTACTGACCGTACTTCTCAGCAACGTGCTGCTGAGAGAGAACCATGAGGCACACAGTTTGTGTCAACATAATGGCCTGATCTACCGATAACCCCCTTGCCATTGTTTTCTCACTGCTCTACTGTTTTCTCACTGATATACTTATAGAATGAGAGTGGAGATATCCATGTTGAGAGTGATATGCCACCGCATGCCTCCCTGCAGGTTCATCTGAGTCTGGGGGTGTCGATTTGCATATATGCAAAGTGAATGATGTGAGCTAAAAGGTAGAACTAAGCAAAAAATCAGTTACTTCAATTCAGGAACCTGATTTTTTGGTTTCAGGAAGAGAAAATACTACCAGAAAAACTAAACTTCTTTCCTCTAGATCCTTTAATTAAACATCCCTTATTCTGTTCTGTCCTTCTGTCACCTACTTCAGTGAACAGGTTCTATAGCAAATGGAGTCTGGAAAAGACTTCGCATGGATTTAACACAGACTAACATGTATTTTTGCTAATTTAAGAGTCTTAGAGCCCTATTCCTACCCCTTATTTAAATAAGAAGTTTTACAGGTTATGATATTATTATATTTTAATTTGTATTATATCACATAAGACTTCTGTTTATTTCCTTATAGGACTAGGGACATACAGTGAAATTGGAAATGTTAACGATAGCATTTTTACATTATACTATGATCACTTGGGATTCATACATAAACTGACTCCAACTCACTTTGAATCCTCTGAAAATTCCAAAATTTTTGGACAGGTCAGTGGCATAATGTATTGAAACAATTCCCCTTGTTTGTTATAAGAATATGTTCCACATTCTACACACAGAATAGTGATAAAGTATTTTCCTTGGAACAAACTCTTATTAATTTACTTTGCTCTATTTAACTAAAGGACAATCTCCACATACCAGGGAACATTTCTAAAATCTCCCAACTATATTACAGAGTTATATAGCTACAATTTAACACCAGATGTCTTCATGCAAATGTCTTCACAGCAAAACACTACTAGATCTTCTAAACTAGATCCCTTACTCCCAGATGGGTGTTGATTCTCTGCTTCCGAAGGTCAACCTTGACGAAACAAGTTCTGGCTCTCCTTCTTCCATGTTAACCCTGTCCTTTAATTTCCTCTCTTCTTAATACCAACATAGAAAAGAATTATCTTATTTGTTAGACTCTCATAGGTGCACTACAGACAGATATTTATAACAATTTTAAGGTATAATATGCTATTTGTAAATGTCTATATGCCTAAGAACTCATCGCGAACATGCAGCCATGAAAACAAACACTCATCAGTATATCAGCAAGTAATCAATCTTTTGACTGGGGTATAATTAAGCCTTCCTTCTAGCTTAACAAAAACAGAACAAAAGGTAAATCTCATTTTAAAAGATCACTCCAATTACCAGGCCAGGACTGCACTTGAGAGAATGGTGTTTTCACATACCCTGTCTGATATACTTACAGAATGAGAGTGGAGACATCCACGTGAGAGCAACATGTCACCCCATGCCTCCCTGCAGGTTCATCTGAGTCTGGGGCTGTGGCTTTGCATATATACAAAGTGAATGACGTGAACTAGAAGGTAGAACTAACCAAAAAAACAGTACCTCAATGTTTCATTACCTTCACAATTTTGCAGGACGTACCTTCACTCCTTTATGTGAAAGTTTAAATTATTACAATGAAAACTCTATCAGATATGGGGGTTTTATACTCAGAACAAGTTTAAGAAATTCATAATCAGTATACTCCCACCCTCTAAATTATGCATGCATCCTTTCTGGAAAAAATAATCACTAGCTCTTGTTATGTGGAAGACACTGCTGTAAGCTCTTAAGATCTTTATAACTATTATTTATTCCCATTTTACTAAGAGAAAAGTAGGCACAGAGAGGGTGAATAATATTCAAAATTACACAACTGGTTCATTATTGGAATCAGGCATGTATCCCAGGCAGCTGGCTCCAGGACCTGTCTATTAAACCAGTTTTAGTTCCAGTTCTCTCCCCTTCTCAGCAGGTCCCAAAAATACGGAGACTGAGGGGAAAAGCCTAACAGAAAATGAGTCTTGGAGGCACTATTTGATAAGTATTCCACGAAATGATCTGTCCCGCCTACCACCTACTCCTTGTGTCCTAGCAATAAGGTCAATTCTAGCATTCCCTTTAAGGTTGGTACCTACTTCTTTTCTCACCCCTAGAAGATCCCAAAATTGAACAGGCTTAAGATTGAAGAAAGATGTGTTGAAAAGAGCTACCAATTGAGCCAAGGAAAGAGAATCACAGCCCAACCTGGGCAATTTAGAACTTAGTGAGACCCTGTCTCAAAATTTAAAAATTAAAAAGGGCAGGGGATGATCCTACATTCAGTCACCAGTATCAGGGAAAAAAGGAAGAAGAGAAGACCTACAGGTCAGAAATCTAGGCCAAAGGAACCTATGTTAACTCCAAGGGAAAGTCTGTGAATCAGAAGATGTGAGAAAGGACTACATCAGCAGGGACTCTCACTTGCAACGTCTTTTGCCAGAGTCTGGGAGCAGCAGCCCTCAAGCGAGGAGAGTTATGCCCTAGGCCCTTTCCTAAATAAAACACCAAGTAAGAACCCAATTCTCAATTCTGCAACTCCTGACTCCTCACACACAATGAAAATTAGTCTCTGTACACTCTTCCACTGCAACCATCTCCAAAGACACAGAAATCACTAACTGAGCCTTAATCATCAGAATTTCTTTTCCTTTTCAACAGAAAATTTTATTTTCTGTTGCATACACATACATATTCAGATTACAGTGAAATATTACTCCAATTGATGAGTAAACAGTATTGTTTTGATGTGAACTGGAAACAAAGCTGTTATTTGAATTTTGTCATAATTGAAGTAAAAAATCATTTAAATGAAATATTTTATTTTCTCCAATAGCAGGCTCCTGATATGGGCTTTGAGGCTGCACTTGCTCTGCAGTATATCTCCCCTGATGAAATGATCTTCTTTGCATATGTACCTCCAAATGAACCTCAGGAAACTATACACACCAAGAAGTTCAATAATATGCATTTAGGAAAACTGATACACTCCAGGTAATTAGTGATTTGCCTCGCATTTATTTAGATGGATTTTTAAATTCTAAATTTTGAGACTAGTTATTTGAATAATTTTCTTTGTCCAACAGAGTCTTTCTTTGATACCTCACAAGGCCAAATACATTTATAAACTCCAAAGTCTCTTGTCTTGCATGATGCCTCAGTTTTAGAAATGTAGTGCCTCTTATATCAGCACTGTCAAGCTAAGCTATAGAAATGTGGCCCGGGATACACCGGATACTTCTTATCCACAGTGTTCACTCACTCATGTGACAGTTGCTTTATGGCCTAGAAGCAAACACATCTAATATAGTGGAAGCCATCTTTCATGAAATGCTCTATGGTAGGGTATACAGAATTTTCAGAAATGTTTACTTCTAAGATGGCAACAGCCAAAGGACTTTAAAGTTACCTTTAAGGCCTAAAAGCTCAATTTTTTCCCCCAGCCTTTTGTAAAACTCCCCTCCTCCCGCCCAGACAAGGTCTTGCTAATTTGCAAAGTTGTCCAGGCTGGGCCCAACTTGCAAATCTGTCTCAACTCCCCAGAGTTCTGGAATTATAGGCATTTGCCAACTTGCCCAGCTTTCAAAAACTCTCTTTTTAAAGAACAATTAAATTCTAAAACTCCCAAATCCAACAGCAATAAAAAGGAAAGATTGTTTATTGCTATAAATTTACTGATATGGTCTGAATGTCTGGGTCTCCACAAATTTCATATACTGAAATCCTAACCACCAAGGTTATGGTATTAGGATGTAGCCTTTGGAAAGTGATTAGGCTATAAGAGCTCTAAATGAGATTAGAGCCCTTATAAAAGAGATCCCAGAGAGCTACCTAGGCCCCCCATGTGATGACATATATAGAAAGCACTATGTACAAACCAGATTGTGGCCCCTGACCAGACACTAAATCTGAGGAGGCTTTGATCTTGGGTTTCCCATCCCCCACAACTGTAAGAAAAACATTTCTGTTGTTTCTAGGTTGCCCATTTTATGGTATTTTCTTATAATAGTCTGAACATACTGAACCAATCACTCTGTCCAAATGAGTGGACCCTATTCTTCTATGAGGTAGAAATCTGTATGTGAATTGAGCTGTCAATATATATCTTGTCCCATAGCCAACAATGCTATATAGTTTCTGGAGGAAACCCGCAAGAACTTCTATACAAGAGTCCTGAGAGGTAGTGCTGGGATCCTACGCATCAGGCTGACAGCAGGTCTTGGCCACTGTATTGAAAACCTGCTCGAGTTAATGAGAGAAATCCACATGCAGGGCTTCAGGAACTGTTGTGAACGTTTTATGGGATCTTTGTAATTAACAGGTCACTTCTTCAGCCAGCTTTGCCACACCCTAGTCTCCTATCCCATTTTGACACGCTGTTCTCTCAGCCTGAACCTATCTCCTGCCATTATTCTCTTTCTTCATCCTCATTCTAATTTTTTGTTGAGCACTAAAGTGAAAATAAGAACAACCAGGTAAAGGGGTTAGAGGTCCTCCTCATGCTGACCCCTAGAGTCCTTTGATATGGGTAATGCCAGTCTTACTACTCTTTTATTTTAATTATTTTATTCAGCAACTCCTTCCTAATTTTTTTATAGCATAACATTTATTGGTACATTTTAGGCATACATAACGATAACTCTCATCATAGGACTGCTCTTACCCTACTGTAATAGCTTTAATATTTTAGTTTTTAAGTTTTTCATCTATCTAGAGTAGGTGATGCTAGGATTAAAACTGTGTGATTACTAAATCCTGTGAGTCATTGGTTTGGCACCAATCTTAATCCCTATAGTCTGGATGAGATAAAAGAGGCAGAAAGGTGATGTTAAGGTATCTTATAGCTTCTGTTGTCTTCCACCACCATGAACTGTGGCCACTCTGCCACCCTGCCTCGGAGACACCTGATCAGGGACTGAAACCTCTATAAACTGCGAGCTAAATAAACTTTTAACTTTGGGTGTTGGGTATTTTGTGTTAGCAAAATGAGAAAAGTAACTAAGACAAGGTGGTATCTATTTGTCATTCTGGTTTATTTTCCTAGTGATTAGTGGCATTGTGCATCTTTTCATATGCATACTGACCACTCATCTATCTTCTTTATAGAAATGGCTAGTCAAATAAATCTGATTGACTTGGGGTTGGTTTTTGTTTGTCTTATTTGGCTTTATTATTGAGTTTCAGTGGTTTGCTGTCATTGTGGTTTTGATTTTGATCTGTTGTATTCATCCTGGCCCCTTTTTAGGAGGAATGAAACTTCATTTGAAAGAAAATTAAATTAACTTTGAAATGTGTGTGTCCCACGTTCATTTTGGTTTTTTCTTTTGTTTTGTTTTGGTACCGGGGATTGAATTTGGGTCCTTGCGCTTGCAAGGCAGGCCACCGAACCGCTGAGCTAAATCCCCGGTCCCATTTAATTTTATTTTAATATAGGAGTTATCAATGTTCGTTTGCTATACATATATAAGAAAATTGAAGTTATGACTGTTAACACTGATGAATTACTGATCAGTCTTTTTTCCATGCATTTGAACATTTTTTTCACCTTGCTCTTCTTCTTTTTTTTTTTTTTTTTTTTTTTTTTTGGTACCAGGGATTGAACTCAGGACCTTGCACTTGCAAAGCAGGCAGTGGAATCACTGAGCTAAATCCCGGCCCTGCTCTTTTCTTTAAACATTATGTGACCATTTTCCCTATGTAGTAAAAACTCTGAGTGCCATTTTTTTTTCAGCTTTAATTGAGTGCCATTTTAATAGATGCATTATCTCTAAGTAAACAGTGTAGTATCATTTATTTACCTTTTTCTATTGTTAGTATTTTGTAATTCTAACTTTCGCTAAAATGCCATGATGAAGATCTTGTGTTGATAGCTTCCCCCTTCTTCAAGTTTCAAGTGTTGCTTTAGGATAGATATGTTTAGTAAACCAATGGAATTGGAGGGGAGGGTGTTAGCTCTTTTAACATGTCAGATTGCTTTCTAGGAAGCTTGTCCTAATTTACAATCTCATCAGTAGTGGGTGACTTTAAATATAGTAAAGTTATCTCCACTTAATTCTCACCACTACTGAACCCTGTCATTTAGAATCTTTATTGGCTAGGAATGTGACTCGGTGGTAGTGCCCTTGCCTATTATGTGTGAGATCCTGGGTTCCATCTCCAGCATCACTAAATAAATAAAGCACTAGGCATGGTGGAACATGCCAATAATCCTAGCACCTTGGGAGCCTGAAGCAGGAAGGTAAAAAATGTGAACCCACTCCAGATATCTTATGACTTGATAAGACCCTGTCTCAAAATTTAAAAAGGACTGGGTGCAGTCCTAGCTCAGTACAAAGGCCCTGCATTAATTCCCAGTTTTACAAATAAATAAATAACTTTGCTAGTTTAGAGGTAAAATATTGTATTCCCTTCGTGTAATTGTCATTTAATTGACAACTAACAAGTATGAACAAAATGTTAACCAGATGTTCATTTGATAGTCATGGATGTATATTTTATGGGGAGTTGTATGTTCACAAACTTGCTCATTTAGGCCGCTGTAATGTTCAAACTGCTTAATGTTTGTGGTTTGTTTTTAGCAAAACTGGAACAGCATACATAAGAAAGATACTACAGCATGAAACTCCTAAAGAATTTTTGTCCTCAGTTGTTGCAGAAATGATACAGCCTTTTGGAGTAGAAGAAGTAAACGAAAGTTCTTCTTTGTCTAGTTCTCTTGTCATTAAAGAAACTAGAAATCCTTTCTATAAACTTACTCTTGATTTACAAAGTAAGTGTTAAAACATAATACATCTCCAGTGGTTAAAAAAATTCAAAAATACCTTTTGAGACGACTGTCTCTGTTCATTGTAGAGCAATATATTTCAAATTTTACTCTAATTGTCAACTTACCAAAATTTACATGTGCTTAGTTTCCTAAGTACTCATTTGTTCCTAATATAAGAAAATCTAACTATAACTGTATCAATACATCATCAATTGTAGTGCCTATCATTTACTCCTGTGAGGTTATTTTGTCTTAACAATGCTTAGAAGTAAGACAAAGAGGAACTAATGTGTCAATTAAAAATGAAAAAAATTGAGAAAAGAAAATAGCAAGTTCATGCAGATTTTGCCCTGCATAATAAACTAATTTAAAATCACTGTTATATAGAGAAATTTCCATTTCAAAAGATTATCTTTGTATAAGGATAGTTACACCACCTATGTATGTATCAAAGGATACATAGCAAAAATTAGTATACATTAAGGATTTTGGTCTCACTCTGAGGAAATGAGAAGTCATTATAGAGGTTTGTATAGAAAGTGACACAATTGTTTTAATAAGATTGCATTGGCTAGAATAGACTGGGCACCAGAGAGGGCAAGGAGAAAAGCAGAGTAATCAGCTAGAAAGCTATTGTAGTAATCCAGTGGGAAATCATATTAAACTTAAAATGCATGTTACTCATCCAAGTAGAGGTAAAGTGGGCATTTAGAAATACAAGTCTGGAGCTCAGGAAAATTGCTTGTGTATGATAGTGCTATGATACCCAGTGAGAAGACCCAAAAAATGACTGGAAAAACAGAAAGCAGGAGGTCTGAAGTCTAACTCCAGGCATGCTGACACTGAGCCTCTGAGAGATGGGGAGGTATTACTGGTAAAAGAAAGTAGATGATCTAGACAGAGAAGAACCAAGAATGTGTCTCAAAAGCCAAGTAAGGAAGGTGTTTCAGGAAGGAAGGAGTGGGTGTGGTTGTGCACACCTTTAATCCCAGCATTTGGGAAATTGAAGCAGGAGGATCATCTCAAATTCAGGGCCAGCGTTGGCTACTAACATAATGAGACCCTGTCTCAAAAGAAAAAAGGAAAAAACAAAGGAAGGAGTGCACCTGTATTATATGCCACCAATCAATCAGGTGAGTTTAAATGAAAGCTGGCCATTGAACCCCCTGTGAAAGTCATTGTGAATTGATAAAAGCTGTTGACTGGGATAGTATAGGCAAGTCAAATTAGAATGGGTTCAAAAGCTGGTGAGAGCAGCAGAATTGAAGCCAGTGAATAAAGGTAACTTTCAAAGAGTTTCCTTCTAAAGGGGAGGAGAGGATCAATGTGGCCTTTTGAGGAAATGTAGGGAAAAATTGGGGGGATGGTTTGAAATGAGAGAGAGAGAGAGAGAGAGTGTGTGTGTGTGTGTGTGTGTGTGTGTGTGTGTGTGCAATAAAGAGAATTATGAGGCTCTTTTTGGATTGTTTCTATTTTTTTCAGAGTGGGGATAGTCTTGTCTTCATGTTTAATGACCTATTAAAACAGTTGATAATGGTAATGTTTCTCTCCTTGAAAAAATGTTTCTCTTGTTTTCTTTTTATTGTTGTTGCTGTTTTTTGTAGTTCTGGTAATCAAACTCAGGACTTTGTGCTTGTGAAGCAGGTACAGTGCCACTGAGCTAAATCCCCGGCTCCTTTCTTTGGTTTTGTTGGTATCTTCTCTGATGATTTCCTGTTTCTTCCTTCTGTCCTTGGCAAGATCATTTCCTCATTCCCATTCCTTAAATGAATATATCCTTTAATGTCCTGCACTAGAGCCTCTTATAAATCTTCCTGCTCTTGAAGAATCAATTATTCATCCAATCAACAAACTGAATACCTTCTATGTAATAGGCACAAATGTAGGCATTGGAGGAACACTGACTACATTACCCTTCTCTTGTGCAATTACAATAAATAAGTCTCTTAGCAATTCCACAGTAAAGAAATCGATTTCCTAGTTGAAAATTCTTATTTATTTTCTTTCTTCCCTTGGTCATGTGTGGTAAGTTTCTGAAGTCTGTTCTTATCTTTTTGGTGATTTCAAATGGTGATTTGAAAGGGCTTAGACTCAAGTATGTTGTGAGAGGTCTTGGTTCTTTTATGGCTACAGGAAATGAATACATTTCCACAAAAATGTGGTAGATAGAAAGGGGAATTGCAACGTTTCACTAAAATATCTTCTTTCAAGGGTAGAGAATGTGTGATAGTGGTAACTGTTCTCTTTCCTGTTACTTGGACTTAGCAGATTAATGCTAAATTTTATGAGACAATCTGGGGAAACCTAGAAATACTCATATACAATCATTTGTTTGTTAAATGATTTATTATCATGGAAATAAACTACATGACATTTCTGCTGCCTGAAAGGGATAGGTATATGTCTCTTTAAAGAATATTCATCCTAGCTGGGCATGGATGGTGGCGTACACATGCCTGTAATCTCAGCATTCTGAGAGGCTGACACAGGAATACCTAGCTCAAACCCAGCCCAGGCAATTTAGCAAGGTACAATTGCAAAATTTTTAAAAGAGGTGGAGGTTTGAGGACAGAGCTCAGTGTGAAGGTCCTGCTTTCAATTTGCAGTACTGGAAGAGGGGAAGAAGGAGAAATAACTTCCTTTACTTAGCTTAGTTATATTTTTCCTGCTCATATTTTTATCTATTAATTTCATAGTAAACATTAAAGTATAGGTTTACATGTGATATATTCATGACAAACTTTCTTGAAGGTACATTTTAATTAAAATATGAAATCTGGCAAACATGTTCTCTAGCTAAGATCATATTTTAAAAACTCAAATGGTTTATACCTACCTGTATGCTTAGTGAACATTATCAGTTTGCTTTTACACCAAATATTTTCTGTTTTATCTCCAGCTGTTAATTCATTGTTTCAAGCTACAGATATAGAGAAAACTGTGGTGATTCCTGGTTACAGCAGCTTCCTGATCACAGAAATTTCAGATGATAAGAATGCACTAGCTATTGCTACCATGCCTGCAATAGCACCCAACAATGTAACCTTTTTAGAGGGTGACTGGTTCTTGTACAACTTTGGGCAAAGGAATGGACGGACATGGAATATATACTCGAAACCATGTCATTATTTGCTTCAACGACTTGATGATTCACCAACCCTGAATGGTGTGAAATACATTGATCTGGGAAGCTCTCAGACTCTAGGAGTTAAGGTCATACCTAATAAAAAAGGTAAATTTGTTTTCATTGGTGTTATGGCTTGTGATTAGATGTCCCCCAAAGCCTCGTGCTGTTTCAGAAATGGCTGGATCCAGAGTGTGTGGCTGGAATTGATTCATGATGCGATGCTAGGATCAAGGGAACTAGGGTTAAGGTGTGAGTGCTATCTGCTCTAAGTAGCCTAGATACGATAGAAGAGATAGAAAGAGCTATAGTTTTCCCTTGCTTGCTTTGCTACCTACCGTCTGCCCTCCATGGACTGTTTCTCCTCTGTGATGCCTGTCTGCCATGCCACCCTGCCTTGGAGCCAGCTGATTATGGACTGAAATCTCTACAAACTATGAGCTAAATAAACCTTTCCTCCCTTAACTTGTTGGTGTTGGGTATTTCGTCTCAGCAACAAAAAAAAGTGAGATGTGGGAAAAGTCAAAAGCAATTATTATTTTGTTTCTTGAATATAAAATATGCTATTTAATATTTAACTTTGGCTGACCGAGGCTTTAGCTCAGTGGCCTGCCTTGCAAGCACAAGATCCTGAGTTCAATCCCTGGTACCAGAAAAAAAGTATACACATATATAGAGATATATAGATATCTCTATATATGTATTCAACTTTGTTTTCCATAATTGTTGGCATGCTATTAATAACAGTAGTGAGACCAAGAGTAAGAGAAACAGTCGAAAGATAAAATAGAGACCTGAGTAAACTGCAATAAGGCCTGGAAAAATTAGAAGACAAAGGGAAAGTGCCCCTCGTGCACTAGAAAGCTAGAGGTCAGGGAAGCCAAGGAACAAACAGGTGTTCGTTCTCCTGCTATCAAAGGCCCACCCAGCTAAAAATGATGACCCATTGTTTCAAAGGACAGGACCTGGGTAAACTGAGATATGCAGTGGGAATCTTTGGGGAAGGGGAATTCTGCTCCTCCTGGCATCAAAAGCCTGTTTCAAGTGTCTCATTTTTGCACATCAAAATAGCCCAACAAAAGTATATACTGTATAAACCCTGAACTTGGGTGCTTCCTCAGCAATCTCCCATGTGGTCCCCCTCAGGTAGGGAGAACTTTTCTTTGTTCGTTCTAATCAACTGTACTTGGTTCATTCCCCTCTGCTGTCCTGTTGGCTTCATTCTTCATTGTTCTCAGGACAAGCACCCAGAAACAGAAAATTGGCTACATCTTTGGCACCCGATGCGGGACCCACTTTTCTATGGAGAGGTAAGAGTGGTGGAGCAACCAGCCCTCACTTTCTTTGTTAATCCCCTGCTGATCTCCCTGGACAATGGGAATGTTGACCAGGCAGGGGAGCTGGATTCCTTTCTTTTTTTTTTTTTTTTTCAGCTTTAATTGAGTTTATTGGTACATTTTAGGGATACAGTACAGTTACATTCATTGTTGGGATCTTGTACCTCTACATGACAAGTCTTGATTCTCATTTTTTCCCCTTACCCCTTTCCTCCCTTCACCCTCTCCTCCCCTCCCCATCTACAAACACTTTATTTTCATCTTTTCATTATCTCACATTTAGGGGAAGGGTAATAAGGGAAAAGAAAAAAATGTGGATTCCTTTCTAAGGCAAATCTCTGGATGCAAGAAACTGGTAAATGTCAGTGTGACAATTACAAGATTCTGGTGAGGTCTACTCCCCAGTGGGTCTCAAATGTCCTCTCACGGAAACCAGATCCCAGCAGCCCAACTGAGTATTCAGCAAAGAAACTGCCATTTGACTTATCACATGTAGCCTGAGGTGAGAGGTGAATTCTCTTGGTGTACTCCAGGTATCACCTTTCAGATGACCTGAGACCCCTCTCTCAGAGCACTCTTATAAGCTTCCTCTTATAAGGGGTTGAGTCATGGGTCTTGGCTTTTCTTTTTCTGCTAGCATGACAGACGCCTCTTCAGATATTTCTAGATAGATTTACCAGGCTGGGAACAGGTTAGGTATTCTACCCCACATTCTGGGATCCCCCAGTCCCTGATGTCCCTGGTATCCAGCCCCCACCCTCCTTTCATAAAGTCAATGCCTGGCAAGTAATCCCTTGGATTTCCTGAGACAGATTTGTTAGAACCAAGGTCAAAGTTAAGAAAGAGACCCTCAGGCCATTTTAGCCAGCCTCACATTACTCTGGCATCTCCTGTGCTCAGAGGTAGGGGCTAATTTTGGAACTCACTAACTACTTGCTTCAAATTCTGGGAGAGAGACTGCTACTTCTCTGGACAACAGCTGTAAGATCCTCCCAGGGAGGAATCCCACCACTCTAAATCCGGGACGCCAGATGCACTATAAACACCCCGGAGAGACGATTCTTGATGCAAAACACAAAAGGTCTTTATTCCAGCGTGCTGAGGCTCAGCTCATAACCCTCGCAGGGGCAGAGGAGTTGAGCCCCGAAGCAGGGTAGAGACACAGTTTTTAAAGGAAAAAACCACAAGCTATAGGGTAGGGGGAATTCCGAGAAAGGGGTCAATTACGGGAACATTCAGTTACAAAGGGTGGGGACTTCAGGGAAGTGGGACCATGGATTGTTCAAAGGGGTAGGGTTTGTTCCGCACCAGACGTTTATCTTGGTTCCTGCCTCCAGGAATGTTTAAAGCGACCTTTTGACCTGTCATGGTTAGCTGACTCTGCTAGGGGTTGGGCTCTTAGAGCTTCTTAATACTTTTCCTAACACAGCCACATGGCACTACTGTGCCTCTCTTCTGGAGGATGGGCTAAAAGATATCCTTATGAAGGCTTTCTGTCAATCCTAGGAGACCCTATCTATCCACTGTGAGGATCAGACCCTCAGTGAACTCTCCCAGGACAAGGTGTAGACATATAGTGCAACTAATGTTGACCAGCTGATTATGTGGGTCCCCTCTCCTGTTGTGGGCAAGGAGAGGCAAAGAAGAGAGAGCAATAGTGAGTATAAATGGATACCCTTTCCTCCCAGCCTCTCTTACAGAGGAGAAATGCTGAGACTCAGGAGGAGCTTTCCTGTTAATTCCCCCATGGGCTGAGCCCCCTATCAAAAGTGCAGTTTACCATAATAACTATTACAGAGGGACAGCTGTTAAGTGAGCCGCTTGCCACTGTAATTCTAATACAGAGTGCCCCAAGGTACTGACACTGTGGTGACAGCTATTCCAAAATTAAAATAACCATCAGCCTAAGCCTTCTTTAAACAGTCCTTGCTTTCTCTCTCTTCCCCTTCTGACTCTGATTGGTGTTAACTTATTACAAGATATCTCAATTATGATTCAACTAAAAGGCACTAATTGTTAACCCCTAAAAAGTTCTAATTAGTATATTTATAGTTATAACCCTAAAACCATAACAGATTACTATAATTCAACTTGGCCAGTAAGAGTATGCTCTGATTTAAAAGTAATTGTTTTGTATGTTCTAAATTTCTTCTTTGTCCATTTGAATGGATTGAGGTGATTACAGCGGCTTCACTAAAGCTTTTTGAGCTGATATAAATTTTATTTTTCCTTTTATTTTTGCTCTTGTAAACATCTGGCTCTTTTTAGGCTTTCAGTAAAAAACTGGTTGCATAGACTTTTGGGGACAGTCAGATTCACTTAATACATTATAAGATGGTGGCTAATAGGCTTGAGATTTACATGGGATTTACAAATGAAAGTCTTAAAGTTTGGTAACATGATTATATATGATTTACATCAATATGTATGTATAGTTCTGTATGTTAACTTTTCACAGGTATACATTATCTTCCAAAATTTCTATTTGTTTGCTTATGGATAAGTAGACACTCATGATATTAGCCTGAAAGCTTTTTGATTCACATAGCTTAATAGTGCAATTGGTAAGAGTAAAGATATCTTTAAAGTTGGCAGCATTTTTCTATCCAGGTTGTTAACCAATCAAGATAATATCAAAACTTGGTTTTACAAATACAATGCCTGCTGGGCATGGTGGTACATACTTGTAATCCCAGCACTTGAGAGGCTAAGGAAGGAGCACCACAGTGAGTTTGAGGGTAATCTGGGCTTCATAGTGAGTTCAAGGCCAGCCTGAACTATATAGCAAGTCTCTGTTTCAAAAAGCCTAAATAAATAAATAAATTGCCTATAAATTGAGTTTTCCCTTGGTCAAAGATAATATACATAGGAAATAGGGACTTAGCTCAGTGGTGCCACACCTGCCTCATAAGCACAAGGTCCAGAATTTGACCCCTAGCACCAAAAACAAGCAAACAAAAAACATATACATAGGTTAAAATATATGGTCTTAATTACTTTTCTATTGCTAAGGCAAAAATACCTGACATCTAAAGTTAAAGGAGGAAAAGTTTTATTTAGCTCACAGTTTGTAAAGATTTCAGTTCATAGTTGGCTGGCTCCAAGGTAGGTTGGCATGGCAAAAGGGCATCACAGAGGAGAAACAGTTCATGGCAGGCAGAAGTCAGCAAGGCAGGAAGCTACAAGCAACAAATAACCAGTGACCCTCTTTCTGTCCTTTATATCTTCTCCAGGCTACGTGCCCTTAGAGTGGGTAGCACTCATAACCAGGGAAAGATACCTTGATCCTACCCAGAACTATACCAAACCAATCATGGACTCATTTAGTAATCACACACCTTCAATCCTAGCATCACACATTCTAGATCCAGCCCCCTCTGAAAAACCCCACTCATGACCCCATGAGGCTTTGGGGGGGGGACATTTAGATACAAGCCATAACATATATGATTTGTTTCTCATGAGTCATTTAAAATAAAATAAATAAGTGAGAACCCCTTAGACTTGGACAACTGCTAAACAAGACTCCCCTCTGTTCTGTGGCTGAAAAAGCAGCTGCCTGAACCAGTTTGTTCCATCTTCTCCACTGATGGCAGACTTTCCAGTTGTTGTTTATTTTCCTCAGAGTCTTATGATGACACACCCTAACAAATGTTATTAATTATTATAATATATTTAAGTTGATTTTAATTAAAAGATTAAGCTTTGTATGTCTAAAACAATAAGGTTTTCTTAAAATATTAAGATCACCTTGGTTAAATTTACAAAACTAAATTTAAAAGATAAAACAAAGTTTCTGTATTGTATGAAGATAATTTCTTGTGTTTTCCATTGTTAGACTTTTTGAAAAAAATTTGTTTTAAGATTGTTTCTTATAAAATGATTTCAACAATCACTTTATGATTAACTATTATCTTAATTTATGACATAGCCTATACATCTAAAAGCAAGATATGCTGTTAGTTTAAACTTTAAAGTCAAGTTTATAGTAAGTTTATAGTAAAAGAAACTAATATGTTCTCTCTTTTATACAATATTCCTCTAGACCTTAGACATAAAACGATCAAAAATTTGCATCTCTTTTTTGGTCCTGCTATTTAAAACTTGATCTGCATCTTTTTGCTTTGATTAGACAAGAATTTTGTTATTGTGTAAATGAGATACACCTGTATAATGGGTAAACCAGTGGTACCTTAGTTTACAAATTTAATTTGTTTTACAATTTTGGGGAAGATGACTGCATTTGTGTTTGTGTGGAGAAGATGGCTATGGTCATCTTTGTCACCCAGTTAGGAGTTTGTGAATGGGAGCAAAATTTTGCCAAATGCTTTTGTTTGCAAACCAAATTGTTTGCAAACAGAAGTGTTCATGAACCAAAGTATTACTGTAAGTCTATTTTTGGTCAGCAGCACTGTTTCCTAAACTTATAAGACCTCTAAAGATGTTTGTTAATTCTTTTTTTTTTTTGTACCAGGCACCAAACTCAGGACCTTGTCCTTGCGAGGCAGGTGCAGCTCCACTGAGCTAAATCCCCAGCCTGATGTTCAGTTATTCAGTACAATTACACCCTATAGACCTGTTAAATAAATTTAAATTCTGCCTTAAGTATAAAAACTAAGCAATATATAAAAATATTTCTATATAGCTATGATGCTTATTATTTCTAACCTCACAATACATTAAATGTATTTGTGTTTCCCAAGAGTACAGGCCTTCAAAAGACAAAACTTAAAAAAAAGAAAAAAATCTCATTATGCTGGTGACTTTTAGGCTAAAATTGTTTATAACAGTAAAACTTTTTATAGTTGTTATATAATTTGTGCTATAATAGTATGATTGATTGGTAGTTGCTAAGTGACATCTCCAGTCTTTTTAAATCTTCTAAGAGTTTCTGGCATATGTCACAGGTCCCTAGATATAAAAATCTTTAGAATAAACATTTGAGTAAAGCCAAGGCAAGGCAAGAAAGAAAAGGTTTTTCATATAAAAGAAAACATGAGATATTTAAGCTCGTGTGTCTGATAGATAATAGAATATAAGGAGATAGATTTTTCTGAAATGGAAAAGGATAAAGTGATGGAGTAGAGAGGGAAGGGAGGCAAAGGGGATAAAAAAAGAATTGAGATATGTCATGTATGTGTACCAACTCCACACAAGGGATGTAAACATGTACTGCAAACATGTACTAATGAATGAGAGAGAGAGAGAAATTTGAATTTTGAAAACAAGGACCAAAATGTCAAATTTAGGACATTGATGATACTGAGAGTGACGATGAAGTTGGATGTAGCTCAGTTGATACAGAAAGTTACAAGACATTTTGATATGTATCTAGATGTCCTCCCCAAAGCTTCCTGTGCTCATAGGTGGGCCTTTTTGGAGGTGGCTGGATCTAGGGTGTGTGAATGTGGATTAAGGGTGTGATAATTGGATTGGTCCGCTCATGGGTCTAACACTGTTATGGGTGTGGGGAAGGGGAAGATCCACCCTGGGTGTGAATGTCACTAACTAACAGGCTTGTAGCCTAAATAGGGTATAAAGGGAAGAAAGGAAGGCGGGCTTGCTGCTTTTTTCTGCCTCCCTGGCCATGAGCTGTTTCTCTTCTGTGATGCCCCTCTGCTATGCCACCTGCTTTGAAGCCAGCTGACTATGGATTTAAACCTCTACAAACTGTGTGCTAAAATAAACCTTTCCTCCTTTAACATAATGATCTCAGTTGTTTTGTCCCAGCAACAAGGAGAGTAAGATACAAGACATTGAAGTAACAGGAAAAAGTATTTAGAAATCTAGATGTTCAATATGAAATGGCAAAATCACAAACCCACACACAAAGAAGAACTGATTGGTGGGAAGGGTAGGGGAAAGGAATAAGGGAAAAGAAAAAATATGAGAAAAGAAAAAAAATGGAAACAAAGTCTTTGTGCTGGGGACTTCACTCAGTGGTTTCGTTGCCTGCCTCGCAAGTGCAAGGAACCAGATTCAATCTCCGGTACCAAAAAAAAAAAAAAAAAAAAAGGAAAAGAAAAAAAAAAAGTCTTTGTAAATAGGGAAGGGGGGAGGGGGGGAAGGGAGGACAGGGGTACGGGGAAAAAAATGAGAACCAAGATCTGTCATGTAAAGGTATAAGATCCCAATGATGAATGTAACTGTACTCCATACCTAAAAAATGCCAATAAACTCAATGAAAAAAAAAAAAGAATTGATTTGGGTTTCACATCTTCAATATGAGGAATGGGTGCAGTGTGAAAGAGATCACACATTTAAAGTTTGAGACTTTATAGATTTCTTGTTCAGATGTCAAGTCCTTGTCCACCAAAGAGCTAGCACTCTAGCTTGCATGGGTATTGCATTGATTTAATTTATTTAAAAATACAATGCTTTCTAAATATCAAATTACTAATACTGGTGTTAATGTTGTAAAATACACTTCCATTCAACTTGACAGGACTATAAAAGAACAATATGTTCTAGTTAATGAATTCTACTTTTCAAATATATTAAAGCTGCAGATGGGATAAAAGTCTCATACACAGATATTTTCATGTCTACTGATTTGTATACTTAATTTTGTAGTCATTTTCATCTCTCAAAACTTGAAAAAAAATTTTGCACAGATGTTCTGTAGAAAGTCTGACCATTTGGTATATAATCCAGAACAAATAGGCTGTGTGGTGGTGGTAGTAAAAGTGGTTTTCTGAAAAAAAAGGTTTTTTAAAGACAGTCATCCATGCTAAAATTCAATGTCACAAACCAAAATTAATGTGTTATCTTCCCAGAAGTCAGAAGTATGAGACAGCTAAATTTTACCAAGTGCTACAATAGGTTCAGTTGCCTCTTCCTAAAGAATAGCTTAATGCTACTTAAAGTGTGGCCCCTGTATCAGCCATATTAATGCCATCTGGGCATTTATTAGAAATACAGAATCTCAGGCCCCATTCCTAACCTGTTAAATTTGTGCTTTAACAAAACCCCCAGTTAAAGGTTAGGAAGCATTGGCCTAATGACTTTGGTTAAGGGAAACAGCTTCAGATGAGATCAGAGGCAAATGATTTATTAATTTTCAACTTTGGCTTACTGCTTAATAAAGATGGCAGACTATGTGGTATTTCAAATCTCCAATAAAATTCACAGCATGGTGAGGTTGCAAACAGGTGGGCTATTGACAGGCAGACAATGGCCTGATGAAACACTGGATTTTGCTTGAAATGTCTAAGAATTCTGTCTTGACAACAACTGACTGGCAGCCCCTTACACTGAGTATGTATTTGCTAGGCTTTCTACTAAGCTAACCAACTAAATGTAACTACAGTTCAACACAATGGGTTCATATCTCAGTGAGTACAAAGCCAATAAGCACATGCTGAAAATAAAAGAGTGAAGAAAAGTTTATTACATGCCTCAAGACAGAAGCACACTAAGGATAGTTCCCAACACAGCAACTCCCTGAACAAAGAAAGCAGGGGCTTCTATTGGGAAAATTTATACATATTCATAAAGAAACATGCTTTGTTTGAAGTCATATGTCACCTGTTCACAAAAACAATGGCAGATAAGAATGTCTCTGGACAGAGAATTTGTTATGATGAGCAAAGTTTACTCTACATTAGCTTTAAAAGGGTGAATCGTCATGATGCCTCAATTTGTCTGGTTCCTTTTCTCTTTGGAGGGCCCTATCTGAAACCAAAAACCAATTACTTTGAAGGAACATTAATAGTCACTTAAAGGAGTAGCAGTTCTCCCCTGCTACCACAAGCATGGGTGATTGATTGTCCCTACTTGGCAGCCAACATATTCAGTATTATCCAGATGACCCTGATATACATTTGAAAATCTGGCTGAGGAATGAAATGTGGAGGAGGGTAATGTTTCTCTGAGAAAGTATTTGTGAGGTTAAGTTTTTCTAAGTATTAAAGACGCCATTATATAAAGTGCTAACTATATTTGCAGCCATTACGTCACTTTCATAACAGATTTTGTAGATGTTCTAAAATCCTGATTAGCCAGTCATTAAATTGTACTTATACTTGTCATTGTGTAATAATATGCAACTATTGATGTTGTTTCCATAGGTCTCAACACACTTCAAGTTCCAACACTGAAAGTAGTAGTTGGAAACCCAGAATTGTTGGAAGTTAAAGCTGAAGGCTCTTTTGATGATGCTGATAGTTATCTAATGAAGATTTCTGTAGCAAGCAAATCTTTTCGTCAAGTAAGATTTCCTTAGCTACAAGTCTATTAATTATAAAAAGTTTAGAGTAAAAGCTAAGAAAAAAGATAAAAATTACACTTAATCCTACCTACCAAACATGACTAAGCACTGTTACCACACTAAGAATTTTAAAAGGTGGAGGCCGGGGATTTAGCTCAGTGGTTCCGCCACCTGCCTTCCAAGCGCAAGGTTCATGTTCAACCTCCAGTACGAATAACAGATAAATAAATAAAAATAAAAAGTAGAATAAAAAAGCGGGGTAGAGGTTCAAAACAGAGGATAACAAGTGTGAGGTCTGGAGAAAACTGCCTGAGTTAGGTACGTCTCACTCTGGTACTGTCTGTATGGCCTTGAGAAAGTTACTTTACTGTGACTTATTATCATGAGGATGATAGTAATTTTACCTACCTTATATGGTTGTTTTAAGAATTATATGTGACCAATATAAGTAGGGCACTGAAAACAATCTTTGGGCCCACTGGGGAATAGCTCAGTGCCAGAGCTCTTGTCCTGCATATGTGAAGCCCTGCATTTAATCCTCAGCACTACAAAAAGAAAACATTCTAGCATCTAAAAAGTGCTTGGTAACTATTAACTCACAATATTTTCTTGTTATTTCCCTAAAGCTAGGAGAGAATTACATATACACTTTTAGAAATTTCCTCATTGTTTTAACTACAATATATTTTTAATCCCCTAAATCAATATTTTTCTACATATCCCTACATGTCCTAAATCTCTTTTATCATGAAAACTGTCAGATATAGACAAAAATAGTGCTCCCATATGCCCACCACCCAAATTAAACAGTTCTCAAAATTATGCTACTTTTGTGCATTTTTATTTATTTTTTGTTTATATTCTAATACAGCTTAAAATGAATAGCCAACATCTTTTCACTCTTACATACTTTAATAAACATCTGTAAAAAACATTTTTATTAACTCTCTAACATGACCACAATGTCACATCATCCCTAAATTTTTTAAATACATATGAAAATCCTGTTCCCAGCCATATTTTCTCAATTTTGCCAAAAAAAAAATGTTTTAATAGCTGGTTTGACCCAAAATACAAACAAGATTCACACAATATACATAATTATTTTATCTAAATTTTAACCAAAAACCCCTACAATTCCATTCTCTTCCCCTAGTTGAAATCAAGACACTTGTACCAAAAAATGTCCATCTTTTGGGATATTTTTGTTTGATTCACTATACCTTACTTAACTTGTGCCATTAGCCCCATATTTTCATTCATAGAAGATTCCTCTTGAACTTGTGTTCAATGTGTTTGGCCAGAGCACATAAAAATACATCATTTGTAGTGGGTATGGTATATGGAAGCAGAGGAAAAACTATACACCACAATCTATGATATCACTAAAATTACAAATATTTCATCATTTCAAAGGTAAAAAATACTTTAAAATGTCAAATAAAAATGTATTAAATTTCATTGAATGTTTAATATTATTCAAGGATCAAATATATTTACTAGGCATAAATTCCTACCAAAAACTTATCTATGAAATATAGTGACTGCTGAATAAAAAATTTTTTTCAAAATGGAACCAATAGAAAATATTTTATTCCCTATCATCAAAGCAAATAACCAGGTGCTCATCAGTGAATGAAGTCTTAAATACATGAAGTAGATGTAAATCTTTTAATCTTTGTCTATTTCTCAAAACCAATTAGATTATAAGATTTCTTCCTGGAAAAGAAGATGTTTTCTGTTACAATTTATTCTAAACAGATTTTTACGATCAAGTTTATCATTCTGTTCTTGAGACAGGGTCTAGCTAAATCACTGAGTTGTCCCAGATGGTATCACTCGTGATCCCTCTGACTCCACCTCCCAGAATGCCATCATAAGCATTCACCACCGTTCCTAGCTTATTTTACCTCAATCAACTCTTTAGAGATCTTATCTCCAAATATACGTTCTGAGGTACTGGGTACCTCCTATTAGTACATAGTAAATTAACCTGTAACAGTTAGTTTAACTAACACTGACTTGTCTGGAAATATCCAGGGCTCCACTTCTCTAGCACTGATTATCTGGGGAGCTTCCACTGAGTGCTTTATGACAACACTGGTGCCAACTTTGAAAAGCAGCTGTAGCTATCTCACTTCTATGCATCACGTTCCCAGCCAACGTATTCCATATGAAGACTGGATTAGTGGAGTTCACAAAGACAGTCAGGGTTTTAATCAGATCAAAACTTTGCCGGTAAGAATTTAAGCACATACGTTGGTTTGAGAATGCCAGGGACGTAATCTTTTTTGTGTGCTCAGATGGGCATTGCTTTAAGGGGCACAACTATCTCACAGTCATTTCTAAATATTCATTTCATTTTTATTTAATTCTACACTGAAAACTTTCTGAAATAATGACTTTTCTTGGTAACTTGGCTCATCGTTGTTAATATCATTTTATCCTTTAAATAATGTAGGGCTTTCATAATTTACACTATTTACCCTGAGAATGACTTGCCTTAAGGTAACTTATGGGAATGATCCCATTTCAAAATCATGCTTTTAACTTTTGCCTTGTCAGAATCTATAACTACTTATTAAACAAAATTTAATCTACTACATGTACTCACTTTGGCAGCAAATTTATTAAAAAAATTAATCTACTACTTATAATGTATTTATTCCATAAAACAACTAAAATGGAATAATTGCTCGTCTATATCAAGTCTCTTTTATCAAATGCTCAGCCATTGTTACATGAATTTTATAATAGCTATTGTAGGTATTAAAACTAGTTTTCACTTGTTTACAAGTTCCAAGTAATATTACTACTGGTTGAGGTTGTCAAAATTCCATAAAACAAAAAGTAGGAGTGTTGACAGAAGGGAAATGTACCTTAATACATGTAGCTAAAAGTGAAATCTTGGCATTGAATGTTTTCCTAGAAAATCAAGATATTTTCAGACTAAGTAAGTAATAATGAACCATACACTTTCTTTGTTTAATCATTTGCAGGTAAACTACAGGCCTCCATCTATTATGGGAATTGCTATTCCACTCACAGATAACTTTTATCATGCAGATCCTAGTGAGCCCATACCAAGAAATCTATTTCACAAGTCAAAGGTAAATAATTTTTTATAAATAAACTAGGATACTATATTTATTATTTATGTTCAAGAAATTAATAAAATTAGAGACAGGTGTAGCTATATGGATTAAATGAGAAGGTACTGCTATTATTATTATCATTATTATTGTTACCACTACTGCAACCCATTTCTTCTCCTGCTTTAGCCCTTCTCCTTTAGGGGCTACTCTTGGATACCATTGTTTGGTTGCTTTTTGGTACTGGAGACTGAACTCAGGGTCTTCACACTGAACTATATCCCCAGCCCTTTTGGGGGTTTTTGTTTTGTTTTATTTTGTTTTGTTTTTTGAGACAGGGTCTCACTATGTAGTTGAGACTGACCTGGAACTCACTAGGTAGCCCAGGCTGGTCTTGAACTCACAGCAATCCTCCTGCCTTAGCCTACTGAGTGCTGGGATTACAGGCATGAGCCACCACGCCCAGCTCCCCTGCCCTTTTTCTAAAGAACCTTGTTAAATTACCTGGGCTGGTCTTGAATTTATGATCTTCCTGCCTTAGCCTCCCAGAATGCTGAGATTATAGACATGTGCCACTACTCTTGGCTTTAGATAGCATTTTTTAGCCAAAATGTAGAGAGTGCTGAAAAATTGTTGAACAAACTAATAATGCACATTTCTCAGTTGTATTTAGTCAGCTTTCCATTACTGTGGAAAATATCTGGGACAATCAAATTTTTTTCTGGCCATACTGGGGATTGAATCCACAGCCTCATACTGAACTACTTCCCCAGCACCCCCTTCCCCTTTTAAAAATTTTTGAGACAGGATCTTGCTAATTTGTTAAATTGCCCAGACTGGCCTTGAACTTGCAATCCTCCTGCCTCAGCCACCAGGAGTGCTGGGATTACAGACATGTGCCACCACACCTAGCTTTACAAGGAGGACAGATTGCTTTGCCTCTTGGTTTCAGAAGTTTCAACCCATGGTCACCTGTGACAAGGCAGAACATCATGGTAGGGAATGCATGATGGAGCAAATCTGCTCACTCCGTGGAAGTGAAGCAAAGACAGAGAGGGCAGAGTCTGGGCTCCCAGTATCCTCCACAGTGGTACATTCCTAATGACCTAATTTCCTTCCATTAGGCCCCTTCTCCGAAGGATTCCACACCTCCCTTTAGCAACACAAGATGGTGACTACGCCTTCAACACATGTGTTTTGTTTTGTGGTACTGGGATTAAACCCAGGGCTCCATGCATGCTAGGCAAGTGCTCTACTCCTGAATTGTGTCCCTAGCCTTTTTTGTTTTTATTTTGAGACAGGATCTTGCTAAATTGCCCAGGCTGGCCTCAAAATTGTGGATCCTCCTGCCTCAGCCTCTCAGTAGCTGGGATCACAGGTATGCACCACGGTGTCCGGCAACACATGGCCTCTGGGGGACATTTTATAGAACCAGGGTTGGGGTATAGCTCAGTGAGATAGAGCACTTGCCTAACATGTGTGAGGCCCTGAATTCAACCCCCAGCACCTCCAAAAAAAAAAGAAGAGACACAAACCATAATGATACACACATGACATTTGGAGATTAACATACTTGTTGGCTCTTGGATTTAAAGGTAAAGAGCTCAGCTCCAAGAAATGAGCATCTGTGATATGGAGTTCTTCTTTGATTCCATTTTCTCTCAAAGACAAAATCTGTTTTGTCACCTTCTGTATCAAAACATGATTTTACTGTATTTACATGCAAATTCTTAGTTTTCCATTATTTTTCTCCCAGGATTTCCTTGGTAGTTGAATAGAAAACATATCTAATTTTTACCTTTCTAAAAGGATTTTTTTTCCAGGAACCTTTTTTGCATTTGCAAATATTAATTTCAGCATTTCCAATGTTATCAGGCATTGATCGTTCATTTGTTGGGAACAGCACTGAATACAATAAATCCGCTGTCTTTGTGGGCTTTTCTCTAATAGGAAAGAATAGGTATAAAACATAAAGTTATACAAATGAAATAGTTTCATCTAGTGCAGTGTTTCTGAACAACATGGCACTGGGTAACCTGAACTAGAATTTGGTGGAAATATTTTTACAATGCAGCTTTTCCAATCTCATTGCATAGTGATAGTGAATCAGAAATTGTGTGGTGCAGTCCTAAAATCTGTATTTCAAAAAAGTCCCTACAGTTGATCCTATTTACCCTAAAGTTTCAGACAAACCAGTAGTAGGACTAGACCCAAAGCTAGCAATGTGACTGTGTATTAGGGATACCTCACAGAGTCCAGGAGGGTCAGGAAAAGTCCCTGAAGAAAGGTGTTTGCATCAAGACTGAAAGGTGAATTGAGGTTGAACAACAAAGGAGGACAAGGTGACAGCATAGAAGTGGGGAAAGGACAGACAACGTTCCAGGCTGAGGCCAGCCCAGGTGGTGCACGCCTGTAATTGCAGTACTCTAGGAGGTTGAAGCAGGAGGATTGAAAGTTTAAACCCAGCCTGGGTAGTTTAGCAACTTAGTGAGATCCTGTCTCAAAATTTAAAAAATTTAAAAAGACCTGGGGATGTAGCTCAGTGCAAAGGCCCTTGGTTCAATACCCAGTACCTAAATAAATAAATAAATAGATTTGTAATTTCAGTAAAAGAATATTCCAGGCTGAGCAAACCTTAGGCACAAAGAGTGGAGATAGATAGGCATTTCTCAATGTCTTGGAAAAACTCATGAAAGAGCAGTCAGCTGGTGGGGAGGGTCGTTCCTGAAGCTATAGGGCTCCTAGGCTAACAAAAGTGTTTTGAACTTGATCCCAAAAGAAATCAAGAGCCATCCAACATAATTTTTAAAAGATTACACTGGTGCTGGAGTGTAGCTCAGTGGTAGAGCTGTGCTTAGCATGCATGATGCCCTGTGTTCAATCTCAACCACCATACACCTCAAGATAGCAAACATCTAAACTCTGTCCTGAACAGTCTCGCCAGGAAACATTGCTAAATGTATTTTCAAATAAAATGTATCAGGCAGGGTTTTAGCTCAGAGGTTCTGGCACCTGCCTGGCAAGGGCAAGGACCCAAGTTCGATCCCCAGTACCAAAGAAATTTAAAAAATAAAACAAATAAAATGCATCAGTGCCAGCAATAAATAGAGATGATAGATGATAGGTGGATGGATGGATACATACATATATTACATACACACATAGATGGTGCTCTATTAGAGCCAAAACATTTGAGGAAATTCTGAAGAAGCAAGCAAGCAGAATCAGGCACACAGAGAAATAAAGCTAAAAGAGATCACAACTGGTAGCTCCTTTGCAGCTTCATTTTGATACCTTTGAAGAGAGGCAGAGAGCTCGGTGGTCCTGACATGCCAAGTTCAGAATGACACAGGGTTTACAGATCCTACACAACTACACTAAGGTCACCCGTAGGGAGTGGGGAAGGGGACATTATCAGGACCTCTACCATGGGTCCTGGCCTGTGAGCCACCACAGCACAAGGTGAAGTTAAGAACAGACAGAAACAAGACTTAAGAGTGGAGAAGCTGAGTCTTGGGTCCTGGTCTGTGCTGCAGGTGGCAGCAAAGACAAGGCCCCCAAATACATCCAGTATTTATTTAACACAACTGTGGAAAGGAATAGGGAGTAGCGTATGCTTTGAAGACATCTAATGAATTACTGCCAAACACCTGGCATGATGGTGCCAGGCAAGGCTGTCAGGGAGTCGGCACTACCGGTACTGGGACCAGGTGCAATTAGCAAGTAACCCATAAGGTCAGAGAGAGACAATAATTCAGGGGAAAGGATTATAACTGGGGTCACGCTGGCCTCAGCTTCACGTAACTTAGCAGGGCCTTGCCACTTCACTGACCAGGACTTAGGCCTTGGTGACAGCCATTAGCAAAGGAGTAAGCCAACTCTGCTAGCGGACATGAGCAGGGCTTTGGTCTGGCTCCTGATACAAAACAGTATAGCTAAATTAGGGAAGGCAAGAAGCACGTGCCACTCATAGCCCGCTAGTCCTGGGCAGGGACGTCTCCTACAGTCACCTGGCAAATTATCATGCAAGGAGATCAATAAAACTCAGAAATTCTGTACTTTTATTTTATATTAATTACTTTTTGCTATGTTAGGAATCAAACTGGGGGCCTTGTCCATTCTAGGCAAGGGTTCTACCTCCGTACTGCACTCCAGCCCCTGGTATTGTACCATTAATGAATCCCTCCCTTTTAACTTTTCAGAAATTTTATCAATTCAAGGAAAAAATTAGTGTTGAACATTTACTCATTTTGCATAAACTTGCAACACACAAAAAAAGTCAACCTGTGTTACTTCTGTTTGCAGGAAGCTGGAAAATACAAACAATGTGCTAATGCTTCTACTCGAGAAGGGTGATTGCACAATGCAACACACAAAAAAAGTCAACCTGTGTTACTTCTGTTTGCAGGAAGCTGGAAAATACAAACAATGTGCTAATGCTTCTACTCGAGAAGGGTGTGATTGCACCAATGAGCAGAAACTGTCACATGCTGTTGCTTTCTCAGACTGCAAAGAAAAAGTAAGATTTTCTGAATTATCTGAATTCAGAGTACTTTCATATTAATAAAAGTCCTCTAATTTGGCAATGTGCTTTTTGATTAAACATGAAAAGCTTCATGTGACATAGGACTAAATGTAACACAGAGCTAAAAAGATCTGGATTTAAATGTACCTAGATGAGTGCACTAAATTCACCAGTAAAATATAATTAAAATACGTGCATTGCCTTGTGCATATTTCATGGGATCTTTACAAAGATACAGGTGTGTTGGTGCAACCTGTAATCCCAGCACTTGGGAGGCTGATGTAGGAGGATTACTGTGAGTTCAAGGCCAGCCTGGGCTACACAGCGAGTTCAAGTCTAGCCTGAATCACATGGCCTTCAGTAAATTAGGGTTTTAAGTGAAACCCTAACTGAATGAAGAGTTGTAGTGAAACCCTTGCTGAATTAAAATAGTATTTCTTTGTCACCACAGTATCTACTCAATACTGCTTTAAGCATTCTCCATGATTTATTCCAGTTCATTTGGGTCGCAGAGAAACTAGGCACTTTGCTAAAGATCTATCTGTTAATAGGCATTAAAGATAAGTATGGTGGTACACACCTGTAACCCCAGCATTTGGGTGGCTGAGGCAGAAGGATCACAGAGAGTTGAGCTGGGGATTTAGCTCAGTGGTGCCCCCGCCTGCCTTTCAAGCGCAAGGACCCGAGTTCAACCCCTGGCACCAAAAACAGAAAGAAAAAAAAGCCAAGAATTTCATTACCACAGTGTTTGTATAATGCCTTGGGATTCACATGGATTTTGCTGTAAGCAGACTTTTTCATGACTCAGAGGCAGAAACACTAAAAAACACATTACATTTAGAATAGCCAAACTATTGGAAATATGTGTATTCATTCCTGACCAGGAAGTGACATTACCATTGAATTTTGCAAATTGATAATCATTCTTGGAATTTGTATTTTAGGTTCCTCGTTTTAAATTTCCAGTTACACAATATCCAATTTCCTTGGAAATTTTCAGTGACAATAAATTTGTTCCAGTGAAATCTCCATATTTGGTTACTGTGACTGAAGTGAATATGAGGAAAAACTGGCAACTAAGTAGGGTTTGCTGTTTTTTATAATTATTTTATCTTATAAATAATATTATTAGCACTTATTTACAAAGATCAGTGGTTTACATAGCCTGTTTACACAAGAGATAGCAGGAGTTGTTTGGAAAGGGTTCCAATCCATTGCCATGTTGCTGTTTACTTCTGTTGTCTCCCATTTAAGTCCTCATCATGCCAGGGACCTGGATTCTACAGCATAAAAATATTTTAAGAATTTGAACTGCAAAAAAATGTGAAAGTCAGGCCAGGGATTTAGCTCAGTATTTCCACCGCCTGCCTCTCAAGGTCCTGAGTTCGATCCCCGGTACCAAAAAAAAAAAAAGAAAAAAAATGTGAAAGTCATTTTGTAGATTAATAATAATTGATTGAATTTGTGCTAGATGTGGGCCTGGGGTCTCACTTTGTTACAGTGCTCCTTTACCAATGAGCTACATTTCCAGACATCTTATGTTTATTTTGAAATAAATTCTGGGGCTTAGAAATAAACAGGGGCGGGGCTTTGAAATAAGCAGGGGCAGGGCTGGGGGCTCAGTAACACCATGCCTGCCTCTCAAATGGCAAGATCCTACCAAAAATAAAACAAACCTTGTGACAAATGCTAGGTTCTGAGTTCAATCCCTACTACCAAAAAAAAAAAAAAAGAAGAAGAAGAAGAACAGAGAGGGGAAGAGAAAGGGAAGGAGAAGAGGAAAAGAGAGAGATAAATTGCCTAAACTAACCTTGAACTTGTAATCCTCCTGCCTCAGCCTCCCATGTAGCTGGGATTCCACGTGTGTACCACCAGGCTCAGCTTTTCATTTATTCGGTGTGGCATAGGAGGTTATAAAGATATTACAAGATAATCTATAGGATCTGACTTCTAATTTTTTTTATTTTATTTTAGGATTCTATTTCTAATTATATGATAAAATTTCTTAGGGATTTTTTACGGTAAAATAATTGAAAAGATTCAGAAATATATTTAAATAAGAAAAAGGAAATTTACACTTGTTCTGTTTTATCTTGAATATGCAATTTTGTATTGCACATTTTTTGTATGTATGAATATTTTGATGAGAGAGAGAGAATTAACTAGATAGAAATATATAAGTGGAACTTTTACCAATCATTAATATATGACTAATATACAGACATTTGGAATTCAGTGACTCTTATTCTGCCCAATATTTATGTACTTTTGAAAATTAAAACTTTGATAAAGTAAAACTACTAAACGTTTTGCTTTAACTAATATCTTGATTTTCTGTTGTATGTGGAGGCTTGCTCTTACCAGATTTTCAGGACTGTTAAATATTTAATCATCTTTCGAGCTGGTGGTAAGCCCTTGAGAGTTTGAAATTAGCCATGGTGAGATTATTTACATTGGCTAATGCTATAAGCAGAACTTATGTTTTACCTTTAGATCCCAAATACAGTTATACCACTGGAATTTTGAATTTCTAATCCATATGCTACCTAGAAAAAAAATGGCCAAGAAAGGCAAGAATCTGGCTGGGGATTTAGCTCAGTGGCACCACAACTGCCTTGCAAGTGCAAGGTCCAGAGTTCAATTCTTGGTACCAAAAAAACAATCATTTACTTACCACCAAGGAGATTGTGAGATGATCTCATAGCCAAAAACGCAAAGACTGTTCAGGTCAGAACTGGTGGTAAGCAAAGGGCTGAAGGAAAAGTTCATCCTAAAGCAAAGTGGTCAAAAGCCTTGTGCTTCCTAAGGATGTCATTGAAGCCAGTGTGAGATATTGGGCCTAAATATATATTCTACAAAGCCAGGCAAAACTGAAAGCATGTGATAACTTAGTCATGTTCTAGAGTAGAATCTCTCACTGTACCTTAATGTATGTTACAAAATTTATGCAAAATGAAGAAATGATTTATGTGTGCTTTAAATATATTTTCTTTTTAGAACACACTTTACCAGAAAATATGAAAAAAATTAAAAATTACTTAGAACCAATTCTTCGTACTTCAGTGTATAATCCCTCAGGTCTCAATTTAAGTATAAAGGTAAGTGGTTGGTAGAACTACTTACTGTGCTAGGTTTAGATAAAACATATGTCTAAACTATGATGTTAGTTTTATAGTATAGATATCCATGAGTAGAGGAAGAGCAACTTTCAGTTATGTGGAGAGGCCTAGTGGCATAGTTCCATGGTGGAGTGTGTGCTTAGCATACACAAAGCTCTGAGTGCAATCCCAGCACCAACAAATGAATAAAAATAAAGCATATGGAGTGAGTTTGCTTTTCCTCCATTTCCCTTGATGTTATCATTCCTAAAAGGATCTGAAATTAAATTTAACATTAACTTACTGTTTTTTAAACTGATAGACAAGGTAGATTATTTAGAGTAGAACAGAAAGGGTATTTCTATAACTTAGGGGAAAAAAATGGGCTCAGTATTCTTCACGGAGATATATATATAGGATATGTCTTCTAGTACTAGCTGTCCATAAAAACACATGAAGTTGATATAATCCAGGCAATTGTGTAAACCATTAAAATTAGAGGGTATATCAGAACGACAAATGTTGAGGATTAGCCCAAAATATTCATCAAGTCCAAGTGAAGTTTTATGTTTTTGTAACTTCTTTATTCTAAAAAACACTATTACTGAATTCCTCTCTTTTTCAGCCTCTTTATAATACATATGATACATATGTCCAACAGCCTTAGGGGGGAGATAGAAATATTTCTATGCACCATGCACTATTCATAGGGAAAGTGGCCATAGTGTATTTTTACTTACAGGAAATGTACATGTTGATGCTGCTGTTGACGCCTGTGTTTTTTTCCACAGGGCTCTGAGCTTTTTCACTTCAGAGTGTCTGTCATTCCAGGAGTCACTTTTTGTAACTTAGTTGAAGAATTTCAGGTATAGTGAATGAGTAAGGTGTCAAATGGGGTGATGAATGAGGAAATAACACAAATGCCAATCCAGGAGACCAAAGGGAAAATCTGAGCAGCATGTATGTTATGGGCAAGGCTCAGTGAAAAGGTATTCTGGAGAAAAGTAGTGTGGATGATTGATAGATGCTGAATGTCTGTTTAACTCTCAGCAGAATTAGGTGATTAGTTGTGGGAATCATATAATGTCCAATGTGTTTGCATTGCTAGTTTCAGAAAGCTTAAAGACTTTGCTTTTTCCTATTGCAGATTTATGTTGATGAAGTACCATTGCCATTTCCAGGACATGCCCTTATTGCTGTTGCAGCAGCCTTTGTGCTAGGGGGATTAATTTTTACAGCATTTATGCTTCAACTGCATAACATCCACCCATGGAGAGCCTTCCAAAGATGGATTAGAAGAAAAAAATCAACTGTATCAAATAACCCCATCACTTAGCTGGCTTACAGATGAAAGTCTGGATAGTGAACAAATGATAATCCACAATTCTCTCTATTTTCTAATTTTAATAAATAAATCATAGAACAATATATTTAAATGTTGAATATATAAACTAGGCAAGTTCTAAAGAATTACCAGTATGATTCATATTTTTGTCAATATTCTTACCATTCCGTTTTCTCATTTTGAACACATAGAAAATTTATTTCAGCTCATCTATAAAAGTTTTTCCTTGAGGTTTTTTGAACAACAAAATGATAGAGCCAGGGATGTAGCTAAGTGGCACCATGCCTGCCTCACAAGCGCAAGGGCCTGAGTTTAATCCCTGGTCCCGAAAAAAAAAAAAATGATAACCTTCTCTGTGTAAAATGGGTTTTATATATTTTTCTCTCTGGAACCCATTCTGTGGTGTCAAACCCTGAGCCTTGCTTTGTTCAGAGAAAAGTATGAAGAGGGCAGAGCGGAGATGATGTGCTTACAGAGCCTTGTGGGAATTAAAGAACCCACTGAGCCTCTTAAGAAAATTTCAAAACCAGACCGGCATAATACTGAAGATTGAACTCAGGGCTTTAGCACTGAACTACATCCTCAGTCCCCCCTACACCTTTTTTTTTGTACTGGAGATCAAACTCAGGTCCTTGTGTTTGTGAGGCAGGCATCTTTTTTTTTTTTTCTCACTGAGTTTATTGGTACTTTTTGGGTATACAGTACAGTTACATCCATCATTGGGATCTTGTACCTTTATATGACAGGTCTTGGTTATCATTTTTTCCCCTTACCCCTGCCCTCCCTTATCTTTTTGAATTTTTTATTTGAGACAAGGTCACACTAAGTCACTCAGTTGGCCAGATAAGGCCAAAACTTGTACTCCTCCTTCCTAGGCTTCCCAGAGTGCTGAGATTATATACATGTTGCAGCGTGCCTGGCTTTTAGTGCACATTTTTGTTAAAAATGAAGTGAAAGAGAAATGATTATGCTTTTCATATTGTATTATATAATATATATTATATAATTGAGCTTTATTAACATTTATGTAGGTATCTTACTGTAATTAAATCTTTTTTCCAGCTTTATAGATTTATAATTTACAAATAAAATACTATAGGTTTAAGGTATACAATGGGATTATTTGATATATATGTATAATGTGAAGTGGCTGCTATAGTTAAATTAGTATATCTATCACCTCACCTAATTATCAGGGGGTTTTTTGTTTGTTTATTTGTTTGTTTTGGTTTTTTGAGACAGGGTCTCACTATGTAGTTAAGGCTGACCTGGAACTCACTACGTAGCCCAGGCTGGTCTCAAACACACAGTGATCCTCCTCCCTCAGCCTCCCAAGTGCTGGAATTACAGTGGTGTGCCACCACACCCAGAAATTATCAGTTTTTTGTCGGGGAAACAAAAACTACTCCTAACATCTTCTGATTAGTTTCTAGCAGTTTACTGATTTTTTTTTTTTTGTATTTTATACCCATACAATAATATCACATTTTAGTCTCAACATTTCCAACAGATACTTCTTGTATTTTTATACCTCAATATAATATCAATACTCTGAAAACAATATAAAAATAAGGTTAAAATAAGACTCTGTAGTATGTCTGAGTTAAAACTAGGGATAGAGACACAGGACATAGGTCACAAACTCAAATACCTGTGTGGGCCATGCGCATTACTTAACCAGCCGAATGTTCTGGAGGTGCCTCTTGTGGACACTTCCTTACCAAGCATTGCAATCTTCAGTGTTTGAAGCTAATTCCAAATGATACAGTGTGCAGGCCAGATCCTGTAAGAGGCTGCCAGTTACACCCTCTATTCTAGGATGCTGCCACTGAGTATAATGCTGGCTTTTCCCTATTATCATGGCAGGTGAATGTCAGTAGTTGTTCTTGGTTCCACAGCAGCCGCTGGTGGGCTGCGTGCACCATTTATTCCAGGATTAGTTAGAAATCCATATGCGCTTAAAATAAAAATTACTGGCTGAGGCCTGCAGATGCAGTCCAGTGGTAGTATGCTTATAGCATGTTCCATTTACTGAGTTTGATCCCTAGTACTAAAAAATAAAATAAAAAATTGGATAATGTTTAGAAATAACTGCTGCTAGTAAAATCTTTACTGGGTAATATGACTGCCAAGAAAAACAAAACAAAAAAATACTAATCATTTTATAAAGAAATGACCTTGATAATGACTTTAGACTACTTTTGTTTAACTATTCATTTCAGGAAAATTTTCTAATATCCTTAGAAAAATATATATATATATGCAAATGAAATAAAAACTTAGATAAGTAAATATATTAATAGAAGAATTAAAGAAGTTCAAAAGTAATACAGATTACATAACCCAAAGAAATTTTCATTCTTTTTAAATTCTGGTGTATTTTTGGAACCCAGTCTTCTTGCAGATATAGGAAAAAAGTTTTAAAAAAACTATTCTAGAGCCAGGAGTGGTGGCGCATGCCTGTAATCCCAGAACTCGGGAGGCTGAGACAGGAGGATCCCTGTGAGTTCGAGACCTGCCTGCGCTACGTAGTGAGTTCCAGGTCAGTCTCAACTACATAGTGAGACCCTGTCTCAAAAAACAAACAAACAAAAAACTATTCTGGAACCAAGAATACATAAAAACTCTGAATAGATAAATAGGAACAAAATAGAGACAGTAATAAAATCTTTGCCAACAAAGAAAAGACCAGGCAGGACCTGTTGAATTCACCACAGAATTCTACCAGAACTTCAAGGCGACTCTAATGCCAATATTCCTCCAACTCTTAAATTAAAATTAAAAGTGAAAACATACTGTCAAACTCATTCCTAGAAGCTAGCATTACACTGATTCTAAAATCATACTGCTACGGTTTGGACTAGATGTCCCTCCAAAGCCTCATGTGGTCATAGGCTTGATCTAGAGTGCGTGAAGCTGGACTTGATTCATGATGCACTGCTAGGCTCAAGGCCGCTGGGATTAAGGGTGTGAGTGCTGTCCACCTTAAGTAGCCTAAATAAGGCAAAGCGGGCAGGGAGACACTGGTAACTCGCTTTTTACCTTTGTTGCCTTGTGTGTGTGCCATGTTGTTTCTCCTCTTCAATGCCTGTTTGCCATCCCAGCCTCAGAGCCAGCTGATTATGGACTGAAATCTCTACAAACTGTAAGCCAAATAAACCCCTTCCCCTCTAACTTTGGGTGTCTGGTATTTCGTCTTAGCAATGAGAGAAAAGTAACTAACACACATACTTAACACAAAAAAGAAAACTACAGGGGCTGAGGGTTTAGCTCAGTGGCACTGCACCTGCCTCACAAGCACAAGGTCCTGAGTATGATCCCAGCACCATAAAGGAAGGAAGGAAGGAAAAAACTACAGGCCAATCTCCTTATTGAACTTAGATGCAAAAATCCTCAACAAAATCTAGGCAAACAATTCATCCCAGGGATGAAAGAATGGTCCAATACACATAAATCAATAAATGCAATACATCACATAAACAGAAGCAGGGACCAAAAAAAAAAAATCAAGTGATTATCTCAATAGATGTAGAAAAAGCCTTTGACAAAATCCAACATTCATTCATGAGAAAAATCTACATGGAAATAAGTATAGAAGGAACTCAACCTCACACTAATAAAAGCCATTTATAAAAGCCACTGCCAAAGGCAGGGATGTAGCTCAGTGGTTCTGCAGCCTGCCTCGCAAGGCCCAAGTTCGATCAATCCTCAGTACCAAAAAAAAAAACAAAACAAAACAAAACACTGCCAGCATCACACTAGATGACAAAAACTGGAAGTTTTTCATGTAAACTCAGAAACAACAAAAGGATGTCCACTCTCCTATTCAATATTGTATTTGAAACTTCCACCAGAGCAATCAGGCAAGAGAAAGAAATAAAAGGGATATATATAAGAAGGGAAGAAATCAGACTATCCTTACTCATAGGTGACATGATCCTTTATATACAAGACCCAAAAACTCCAACAAAATATTTCTAGAACTAGTAAACAAATTCAACAATATAGCAGGATACAAAATCAACACACAAAAATCCATAGCATCTGTGTAGACCAAAAGAGAACTCACTGAAGAAGAAATTAGCAAAACAATGCCATTCAAAATAATATCAATGCTAGGCATGGTGGTACATGCCGTTAGTCCCAGCACTCAGGAGGCTAAAGAAGGAGGATTGTGTGAGTCCAAGGCCAGCCTGGGCTACATGAGTTCAAGGCCAGCCTGAACTATATAGTAAGACCCTGTCTCAAAAAAAAAGTATCAAAAAAATTAAATGCTTTGGAACGAACCTAATCAAAGAAGTAAAAGACTTCTATAATGAGAAGCTCAGTACTCCAAAAAAGAGATTGAAGAAGACATCAGGAAATGGAAAGACACCCTCTATTCCTGGATATATCATATTACAGAGATACATGCATACTAATATTTATAGCAGCACAACTTACAAGAGCTACACCTTGGAAACAGCCTATATGTCCATCAACAGATGAATGGATAAAGAAAATGTGATATATATACACAATGGAGTGCTACTCAGCCATGAAGAAGGGTAAATTTGAATCATTTGTAGGAAAATGGATGCACCTTGAGACCATAATGATAAGCAAAATCAATGAGTCACAGGAGGTTATCAGTTTCTCTTACATAAGAAACCCAAAGTATAAATGAAGGTCAGCTAGGCATGGTGGTTCGTGCCCATAATTCCAGTGCTTGAGAGGCTGAGGCAGGATTGTTGTCAGTTTGAGGCCAGCCTGGGCTACATAGTGAGACCCTGTCGAAAATAAGTAAACAAATAAGCAAGCAAAATTAAAAAATAGATGATAGTAAACAGGGAAGTAGACCTTTTGCAAGTGTGAAGGGGATCTGGGCAAAAGGGAAAGGAGAGAGAAAGAGGAACTAAAAAAAGGACTAAGATGCCACATGTGAACATGTGCCAACTCCCCCTATAATGTATTTATTATGTATTGCAAACATACACTAATTTTTTTAAAAAAGGAAAGAAGTATTCTCATGTCTCATTCAGCATGCCAATCTTAGTAGCAAGGGACTTGCTGTTTTTTAGAACAGTCA